TATCTGATTTTCTTTGTCTGAGACAACACTTCACTCTGAGTACAGCCATGGGAAAGCACGTCCCATGTTTTAGTTTAGTCAGAAGTCATCTATTCCACAGTGGCAGGATGAACAATTGTAATTTGAATACCACAGTATTCATACAACGTTATGATGGTTGGCATCAATTGTTCCATGCATTAGTCATTGTAGTAGAGTCTCCTCAGAAGATCATTTTAACATTAACTATTTTTAAAACAGATGTCTATGGTTGTATGTGTTTAATTTTTTGCAATAGCTGCAAGAAGTCATTATCAGGTAGTAAGATGCTATTCAACTGACATTCTTCCAGCAGTCATGCTGATAGTAGAACATTCTATTTTCATAAATATCAAGATAGATATAGGCGAAAGTCTGGTGAATTTGACTGCATATCTAACTACAGGTGGTATTTTGGTGTGGTAGAAACAGTATTCAGTATTTTTAAAAGCCAAAATATTGGTGTTCCATATTTCAAAGACAAATGTAAGTGTCAAAGTAATCTTTTAACAATGCTTTTGGTTGTAAATAATTTATCTCATATTCATCAGGGCAGACTTCCACTTTTTCATTGCTTATTTTAAACATGGACAGAGTTTCCCACCTGGTTAAGCACCTTTGGGCCCTCTAAAGCACAAAAGATACTTTCCAACTGAAGCAAGCTAAAGAGTGAGCTACAAAGGTGGTTGGGCTGGAGCACAGCCAGCAATGGCTGAGGAACCCTACTTGGACAAAGAGATTGATCTGACATCTGTCAGAGGTCTGCTGACATTCCTTCAATAGGAATAATCCCATGGGTCACATGCTTAGGTTTTGTACCTACTCAATTAAAAATCAATTTTTATATAATTTTTATAGTTTTTGTATTAGTAGAAGCTAAGAAGGATCTTTGACAAAAAATACATTTTTGCATACAGAATTTTAAAACGTCTTCAATTTATGGTGTGGAACTGCATATAAGAACTAGGTTTCATTAAGGTAATAATAGTAAAAGGAAGGAAAAAACATGTAAAGCATCTAGTACTACAAAGTACTAGAATAATGCTGGCACAAATCCATTATTGACAGTATTTCTTTCCAGTACTAACAGAAATACCGAAAATGTCTTGGATTATTTTCATTTTTTAATGTAAAATACAGTTGAAACATGGAAGAGATCATTGTTCAGATTTTAAAATAATGTGAAATCTTTTTTAAATGTGTGTGCTCTGTATAAAGAAATGACTGTAGAAGAGATCCATATTGGACTGTGTAAAAGAGGTATCAGACATGTGGCCATGGCTCACTACCTAATATGTCTGAAGCGGGTAAGAAGTTTTGGAGGCAAAGATGCTTGGATTTGGGATGAAGAGCTGAAGTGAATGATAGCAGGCACACAAGGGCATTTTTACAGGAACCAGTACCTGTTAAAATACCCCTTCTTTTCGTGGAGGAGGCATTTTTAGCAGTTCTCTGCTGTCAGCAGGGTGACCCTTACTCTTACAGTGTGTTGTGGGGTTTTTTAGTAACCTGTTGCCAACATGGTATTTATTAATGGCAGTTTTATAAAATGCAGTACATGAACCTAAGTACTGACCTGACTTTCCTTTCATTGCAGAAAGTTCTCTATTACTCTCTATATTTGCAGAGAGTCTACTCTCTATTTGTGCTGTTTTTCACTTATCCCTAGAGATTACTTCTGAGCATTAGTTGAAATTCATGGTGTCTTGCCAGTGTCTTTACTACACTACCATCTGCCATATGTATTAAAGTAATTGGAAGAGAGATGTCCTTGAATTCAAGCTACTCAATTTGAAGTCACAGAAATTACAGAACTGAGTGTTTATTCATTGCACATTCACTAATCTTCAATAAATTCAGCCTTCAGGCCCCACACAGGAGTTGTTTTTCAGCATGAGGCACCAAGAAAGTGAGTGCATGTAGTGCATGTAGTGGTGCATCATGTGGCCAGTTAGAGGCTTCACAGTAAAGACTGTTTTCTAACGTGGTGAGATCCACCCAGTCCTGTCAGTTAAGCTGATTCCTAATCCAGCTGGGAAATCAGGAATTGGTCATGGGTGAAGATCTAGAGGTTAGCTATGAGAAAAAGGAAGAGTCTCTCATTCTGTTCTATGCTTAGTTGCTTCCTTCATGATGTAATCTTAGTTAAACGGAAAATGAGTGCATACCAGAAAAGTAGATCAGGAGAGTAACTTTATGCTTCAAAATAAAGCTGTAATAAAACTCCAGAAACTAAAAACAGGTACAAAGATGCTTATTGGTTAAAGCATCTACAGCATCACTTGACCCTTAACCAGCCTCAACCCAGCTTGAGATTAGAACAGCTGCCTGAGCAACCAAAAAGTTGACACATATCTTTCAGAACAAAAATCACGAAGATTAAGTGAGATCTGTCACCACTTGACAATTCTATTAATTCAAGCAGATGTTGGGAGCCAGGAATTGCAGAGATAGGAAGCATAAGCCTAGATCACTGAGTGCCTCCAACTGTTTCATTTATTGCATGTTATTATTTTATTTCTTTTATGTGAAGTATAATTGATGCCAAGTTACAAAATTTTTATAGTAGTTAAATCAAGTGCTCTATTTTCAGTATATACAGAGAGACAGTCTGGATCTTCTCAATTTTAAGAAATACCAAATAGTTACACTTCTGTTTTGTATAATACAAATACTATCCAGTCAAATACTGAATATGACAAACAGAAGAGATGTTTTTATATGCTTAAATTCTAAGAGCGTCTTCATTGCATCTTTATTCCTTCATTGCATCCTTATTTCTGGGTGGAAATGCTTAAGTAAGGTGTAGTGTCCTTTTCAAATAGTTGCCTATTCACTAGTTTAACTTTCTGCATGAGCATCTGTTCTGGAAGGGTGAAATTCGGCTGGAATGATAACAGTGGGATCCTGTAGTACCAGATGCACCAATTTTGATTTCTCTTTGGCTAGAAACACTCATGTAGATGGATGACTGCATGAGATTAAAGTACCAGCTTCTCAAGACACAGCTACCAGTTTCTACAAAAATAAAGTAATTGGCTTTTAATCTGCTCTGCTGTGTCAGTGATACGAAGTGCTGAAAGTGTTCAGATTTATTTCTCCAGCAACTTTTCCTTAATCAAGCATTTATTTTCTGAATGGAGTCCTTCCTTTGGTTTATCTTGTCTTACAGAGTTGCTGCTTGTCAGACTGAAAAATAAACTGCTTAGCATGTTATGTCTAAAATGTGATGTTTATGAAGACAATGAAAAATGATACATGCATCTGTCATTTGTCGATGTACCCATTCCCAGTTGCATTCTCTCCTTAAATGTGCTTTTTACCATACTGTTTTTACAGCCAAGCAAAATTCTGAGTCATTCCCTATGCTGGCTTCGGAGAAGCAGTTACTCAGCTCAGAACTGTTTTCTGCTTGCAGGGTCCTTCAGCTTTCAAAAAATGAACTTGAGTATACCGCAAAAAAAAAAAAACCCAAAAAACCAAGATAAAGCAAAAAAAGCCAGCAACAGAAGGAAACCCAATAAGAAAAACCCAAAACAGAACAAAAAAACCCCAAACAAACAAACCCACCAAAAATACCAGACTAGCTTTCACATGCATACCTCTCTGTGATTCAAGGCTATGGTTTTGGCAAAGAATGAAACTGAAAAGGCCAGTTAATAAAACTGTTGCATATTATCTGGTGCTTTAAACACACTTCAAGCTTTGATTAAAGATGCGGTTTTGCTGTCCTGTCTCATATTGGGGGGTGGGAGGTTCCTCCTGCTACATCATTAATGGATTTATAGCACTCTGGATGTGTAATTTTTAAGTTCCAGCCTTACTGTAATCCCATTTAAAACAAGTTTAACTCTGGTCTGGTGAGGCTTGTCTCCCTTGATTTTCTTCCTAGACTGTGGTAGGAGCAATTCACAGCTGACAGCTGAGTACAGTGGCACACTGCAGTGGTGCTACATTTGTGTGGTAAGGCTAAGTAATAATTACTTCCCTTAATTGCAGTCACACATTTCCACAGTCTGATCAGTACAGCTGCTGTTTGTCTGAATCAGCAGAATGACCAGGATTAAGAACCTAAGTGGCATTTTTTATTTCCGTAAAGTACTAGTGGACTTTCTATTGAATCAGACCTGGGAGAAGTGTTTTACTGATAATAGCTGACACTGTTTTAATGAGATTCTGATTTTAAAGGTTTGAGATGTAGAACAATGTTGGTGGCAGAGGGTACCAGCATGAGCTGCATGCTGGAATCCAGTTAAGCTTTCATTTGTGTATTTGAAAACTCTCTACTGCTTTTAAAGCCATAACCAGACTTCTTGGTCCTGGCTCAGGAAAACTGTCCTGTGGCCTCAGTCAGACCAGTGAATGTTTGAGTGCAAAACAAAACTTTTTAAAAATCAGTAGTATAGGGTTTTGCTTATCTGGAGACTGCCTTTAACAACAGGTAGTTTTATGTGTTTAATTACATGTGAGTAAATCGAGCTTCTCTTCTATTGGCTTCTGAAAGTTACATTCTTATATTTGTCATTTCCACTTGCTTGCTACTTAGACAAGCAATCTGTGACATAACCACCAGGCCAGTCAGATATTCAGTGTATGGCTCACTTGATCACATTAATTGGATACCACAACAGGTCAGGTTTTGTAACAAGAGGCTGTTCCCTGTTCTTGCTGAGGAGGTTAACTACAGTCTTCCAGCTTCTGCAGACATGATCTTGTGTTTGGATTAGAGCCTGAGGTCCCTTAGTTGGCCAGGTGTTTTCCAGCACTGTGCTGAATAAGGTCTCCCTTAACCTCTTCTAGGAGGAGTAAAGGTGCACCAGAACAGTGTCATTACAATCTCAGGTCAGAGAGCAGTTTCACCTTTTCATTGTGTAGAATGAATGCATAGTAGGTAAAATAAGTTTACAGGATTTATTCACATAAAGTTATGTGAGTTTATGTGAGTTATATGAGTTTCTTATGCACTTTTTCTTTCTTTGCAGCTATTGGCTGACAAACAAGGTCCGCATCAAACGACCCAGCACTGGTCTCCTCATGTATACACTTGCTACCAGATTTTGTGATGAAATTCACCTGTATGGATTTTGGCCATTCCCAAAGGATTTACATGGAAAACCAGTCAAGTATCACTATTATGATGATCTGAAGTATCGGTACTTTTCTAATGCCAGTCCTCATAGGATGCCATTAGAGTTTAAAACATTGTATGTGTTACACAGTAGAGGAGCACTTAAATTAACAACAGGGAAATGCATACAGCAATAAAGCGCATGTTAAGTACAACAAATACAGAATACACACCTCATCATAAAGATGTTGTGGAATGGCAGTGGGACCACAGTGGGGATTTTTTTCAGTACCCACTAAGCCATTGGAAAAATGGCTCATATCAGAAGTACATAACCAGCTATTATACCTGTAAAGTGCTATATAACTAAGCTATCTTGACTGCAAGGGTTCAAGTAAGTGCCACTTTCACTAAGAACAAAGTTTGAATGTATGCTCGGTAGTGTTTACAGGATGCAGTGACACATTCATCACTAATTGAAGAAGAAAAAGAGCCTGCCAATATGCAACTGTGATCGGACAGCCCACACAAGAATACCCAGTGGATATAATATTTACTTGAGTAAATAAATCAGACTTTGGCAGAAAATATCATGATGGATTTGAGTAGAGAAAGTGAAGTCTGTAAGATCAAACCAATCAGTAACCTCAGCTTTTGTTGCTGTTTTTCTTATTGCCATTGATTGTGTTTTGTTGCTTTTAAGTTTTGGAGCCCTTTCAAGATTTCAAGAATGTTATGAGTATTTTTCATCTTACACAATTGTCTTAAGGAAGAAGATTTGTAAGCATAGGAGGGTGGAGGGGAATATCAAATATTTTATCAAGTGTTATTGTGTTGTATCCTGCTGTTGCACAATCCTTAACATCCCTGTTGTTTTTCTAGATACTGTCGACAGTACCCATTACATGAAACAACATTTTGGTCTGACTTAAAGAGAAGTTTTTCACTCCTGTACAGATTCAAAGATACTACATAGGGTGCCCTTGTTTTCACTGCCAAAGATTACTTTTCTACATATTTTTTCCTTATCTTGGAGAAATAGGGTGATTTATGTTTCTTTGCTACTTAAGGGAAAATATTCTTTTTTATTTATATTTTTAAGCATCTAAAATCAAAGCCTCTTTACTACCTTTGCATATAGAATTCTTCAGAAAAATCTGCAGGAGTCAAGAAATTACTTTGTGCATTCAAATATATATGTGCGTGTATATATATATATATATATATATATATACACGGTTTTATTCGTGCTGGAAAGGAAAAGTCTAAAAAAACTCAGGGGACAGTGGAACTAAAGGAAAAAAAATACTAACCAATTAATGGAAAAAAAATGCAGATTATACAGTTCATTTGAACTTCTAATGGTATTAAATGATCTGTTTGTTTAATATACCTCTTTTGTATCATCTGGATGTTCTGATGGGTAACTGACTGCAAAAACACAGAGCTGCATTATCTCACAGTTGTTTTTTTGATCATCAGTCTTCTTTATCCAAAACACCAGGAGCTATTTGATTTCCTTCTTTCCAAAAAAAAGAGAACAAGCAATTACAGGAGCATAGGAGAGGGTGGAGTTTAAGTACAGCATACATTAAGAACCAAAACTTGTCATCCTATGATATATTTTAGTGCTAAAGGAGCACATATATGGATAAACATCATGGTTTCACATCTTTCCTGTTATGCTTGGCTAAGGAGGAGGCATGCAGGTATAATATATGGGTATTTTCTTGTTATGTTTTCAGAACTACATTAGGTCCTGGTCTCCAAGTATGATATTCAGTGTATCCGCTGAATTTTGAATAGTTTGAGAAATTTCTTATGTGTCACCACTCTCAAAAACATTTACTAGCTGAAAATGCTCTTTATTACCCATTTTTTCCTCTTAAGTTCATGTATTTCATCATGCATGATTGGAGATCTGCAACTATGCAAATTTGGTAGCTAAATCACTGCCTTGCAGCCAGATATTACAGGAGGTAGAAAGTCAGTTCTGTTATATGTAAGACACAGTAACATCTTTCCTTACTCACCAGATTCTCCTACCTAGAACAGTTTATTTTGGCCACGTGCTGATGTGCAATGAGTGGTCCTAACATGAAACTGACTGAAACCAAGTCATCACGAAGAACTGAACAGCCATGCAGAATTTGTTGTTGATAAACCAGAGGGTGCTATTTGTTCACTATGTACACCTTCATCTTAAAACAAGGTTATTTCTGTGATGAAGGGTGAACATAGTCCTGTTCTTGCTGTTAGGGTTTTTCTACTGTTGATCTTCTAAAGTATATTTCATATACATTGACAAAATTGCTATTGAAATAAAGAATTTACAGATTGCCAGTCTCTCAGAAGCTCAGAGAAACATCTGCTCATCTTTATCTTCTGGGAATGTCTTTTCTTCTTTCTAGTGTCAGGCCATCAACAAACAACATGCTCAAGTAGTCTAAAATACTAACTGACGTGATTTTGTTCACCTGTAGAAGGTTTGAATATGCCAATTGATTTTGTATCTGACAGCAAAGTCAACAGGGACTTTTTTATTCCTTAGAATTAAAAATAAAAAATTTGTGGAAATGAATAAATGAAAAGAATAGCATGTAAACAGAAAGATAGGTGAGAGAATTTCCCTTAAATAGTCAGTAGACAAATTAAACCCCGGCCTAAGCCTTGATTTTTCATGCTTCACATTTGATTTTCTGCAGGTGAAGTTAATGTTGGTATATGAGCAATGGAGTCCAGATTTTTATCCTATCACTAAATTTCTGTGACTTGGTTTGGCACAAGACATGACAATAGCACCTGATTCAAAGGCAACAGAATTTTCCCATATCTCCTCAAAACTGGGCCTTAACCTCATCTTCTGCAGGCTTTCTACCTTCAGTACTGCACTCTTGGACACTGTGAGCCACAGGCTCAGGGCACCCTGCTGTCATCCATACCCAACCTTCTCACAGCACTCTCCCCTCACACCAGCACCTAGGTGTGCCTCCCTCCCAAAACCATGGGACTTCACACTGGCACATCTCTTCTCTCACCTGCCTTACGTTGTCCTGAGCTGAGGTGTGATGTACTGAGGGGGTGAGTCTCAGACTATTCTCTGAGGCAAGTTGCAGTAGTTGTAGCAATTGTAGCAGCTGACTTTGTGTAGGTTTTCACAAGCACTGGGGTCATTTTACACTACTGTTTTTGCATAAGACCTGTGTCCATGTGAAGCCCAAAGGTTCTGGGGGGCTCCCTGGTGTGTGGTTTGTTGTGCTACAGGTTGTTTTGAGATGGTTTGTGACCACCAGTTACTGCTTGGTTTGTGGGTACCTGAGGTGAGACATACCCAGGACTTACCCTATTGTTTGCACTCTACAGCTGAGAAGCTGCAGCAAGAGTCATTGCAGACACCCTTCTTACCTTTCCCTTACACCTCATGGGGCTCTTGGAGCATTTCTGTTAAGGCACCCCAGGACCTAAATGGAAAAATAGATTATGTCCACTCTGTGACTTTTTACCTAAAGGTGACCCAGGGCATTGCAGCAAAGTCTTAACTGCTGTATAGAGACTTTGAGGTGAAATAGATTTCACTTTGTGGTCCTTCACTGGTTAGCAGTCAACAGCTTAAACCTTCATAGCTGCCTCGGGTGATTCCTGTTGTTTATCTACATTTGCACCTCTGCTGCCCACAACACAGAGCAGATAATCAATTGGTATTATAATTACCACCTTTATAATCCAACACTATCGACAACTAATACAAAGTAATAGGATAAAAAGGAAGATCCTTAATGTTGTAATGTTATCTGCCCTGGTGAGGAACAGCTGAAATGCCAATCAGTTGTGTTCAGATTTGTTCAAATTTATTCTTTCATCAGCTATACCACTTGCCTGCTGTAGTTCCTAAATGTACATTAAAAATAAGAACTGGAAACTAAATCCAGACAGCAGAACATGTATATTTTTCTAAAGCTTATGGCAGCTTTGCATTAAACAACCTGATTTCATCCAGATAAATTGATTGTAAATTGCTTATTAAGATACACGTTAATGTTTCTGTGACAGTCTTTCACATTTCATACAAATAATAGATAAATGTTTGATTGTTAACTTTTCAGCCTTGGGACAGTTCTCTTCCACAGCTCTGAGCCGCTCTCCAGATATAAGATCTGCTGAACCTTTCAGATCTGAGTCTGCTGTGTAATAATGACTGTATCATTCTTTTGTTAAACAATATAAGCAACATGTGCTTGAGGGCAGTACTTTTTCTCTAATTGACTGTGATTTGAAGAAAAACTGGTGCAGGTTCGGTACCTTTTTTTAGTGGTTGATCTAGCAAAGTGCTAATCAGTCTTTGCAGTGACTTTCCTGGGAGAGACATGTCCAGGATTTAGATGGGGATCTAGATTAGCATATTTCAGGACAGAACTCTGAAATTGCACATTATTTATTTTTAAGAGCACTGTTACTTTGTGTAGGGAAAAGCACAATTGTTATAAATGTAGATGAAGGAAGAGCATTTACAGAGGTTCATACCTGCACAGTACTATTGCTACTGAGTGTATGTCATACAATTTATGTGGTTTAAAGTATTGATACATACTCTCTCAGAATTTTCATGTTTGACACTGTTAGTCTGATTTCAAGTACAGCTATGGGGATTGTTTTTTATTTGTATAACTGAAAAATAAAAATTTCCTCTCATGTTTTCAGCTATATTCTGTTCCATATTCCTTTGTAACACAGTTACGGTAATTTTATCAATCCTGTGCTAATTGTAAGAATCTGTGGAAGAGGAGTGCCTGCTCCTTCAAGGTGTCTGATCAGGGACTTTCTCAACACAAAAGGGGATATTAAGAAGAGAGGGAAGCCATAAACAGGAACAGAGAGACACAAACTTGTGTGACCACTAACAAGGGAGGCAGAGATGAGAACCAAAACTGATGAGTCAAACAAAATGGTTAGGTTAGAGTGTAATGTTAGTGTTAGAGAATTTTTGTATTCCATGTGATTTTCTGATCAAGGACTTTGTCAAGTGGGATACTAAGGAGAAGGGGGGAAGCAGAGTATGTGGACCCAAACCTGACAGGCAAACCATAATTGAGACAAAGAGAAGAAGCCAACGTCATCAGTCACACTGCACAGCTATCAAGAAACTGGGGGCAAATGGTATATTGCAACTGATGAGGATGCAGTCCTGGGGGTCCTGGATTGTTGGAGGGGAGTTGGTGAGTCTTTGCAAATGGGGCAGTGTGCAGGGGAGGAAGAGAAGAGGAATAGACAGAAAAGGGGCTGGTTGTGTGTAAACAATGGCAGGTCAGTGTGCTTGTCTGGCAGATTCCTAGGGCTGATTGCCCCAGTCCATCTTCAGTCCATTAAATCTCCCCTTACCTCTTTCTCTGTGTAATCTCACTGTCTGTCCCATGCATGTGCATTCTGGAGGGACCCGGTGCCAGATGAGGGGGGACTGTTGTGAGAGGATTGGGTGCCAGCTGCTGGAGAGCTGGTGAGGGATGTGGGTGCCCCTGGCTTGTGGCGGTGGCTGCTGGAGCGAGTGGTGGGGCTCTCAGTCACTCTCTACAAGTACTACAAAAAACTCTAAAGAAGCAGCCAGGGCAAATGATAATATCAATACCTCAGAGATGTCTGTGCTTAGGGAGATCCCAAATCCTGAGAATTTTAGCTGTTTTTAAGGGTCTGTCCCAGTCCCAGCCAGCAGCTGGATCCCTCCAATCCCCTCGTCCTATGGATCAGAGTGAAAGGAGGGAAGGAGCCCCCAGCGCTTCCAACTTTGATGATTTTATTGGAAATTTACAATTTTCCCATGCTCTTTCCACCACCCAAATGAAGGGCTTTATGCCAGGGGGCTTTGCATTGGATATTAGGGAAAATTTCTTCACTGAAAGGGTATTTAGGCATTCAAACAGCCTGCCCAGGGAAGTGGTGGAGTCAGACGTGGGGGACATGGTGTAGTGATGGATTTGGCAGTGTTGCATTAGCAGTTGTACTCAATGATTTCAGAGGTCTTTTCCAACCATAATGATTCTGTGGTTCAGTGTCAGCACTGTAGCAAGTAGTGTTCCCTAACCTCCTGTTGAGGGAAGGGAATGCTGGGTGTTCCCAAAACCAGTGATGGGCAGGCTCTGCATGAGTGAGGCAAATGAGAGGATCAGCCCTGGCTGCTGCAGTAGAACCACAGATCAGAGTCTATCTGTGTGGGCAAAGTGTCTGTGTTCTCCCCAAACCTGGTTAGGTGGGCTTAGCTTCCATCGGGACCAGCCAGCAAGCTGAGGGCACATGGGTCTGAAGAGGAGTCTGGGATGGGGGCAGGGGTGCCAGGCAGGCAGAGAGGGCTCCATGGACAAGTGTATGCTCATGAACCTAGAGAGTATTCCCAGACTGTTGCATCAGGAACCTTCTGCCTGCTAGCCCAGGAGGAAGAGCAGGGAGCCCTGGGGTACTGTGCAGTGCCAGTGCAAGTGACCAGCCATGTCACAGGTGTTCTCTGTGTGTCACAAGGATGTATGCTCAGCTTCACTTCTCTGTGTGCTTGAAAATGAAAAAACACGGCCCTCCATCTGGGCAGAGACCCCGGGCTCCCAGGCACTGGATATCAGCCAGGCAGGAGAGGTCCTGGCCCAAATAGCCCATTAAGAGAAACTATTGTAAAATGTTTGAAGCAATTCACAGGAGAGCAAAACTGACTCAGTGAGATCTAGATTTAAACTCTGTATGCACTTTAGATTTTTAAATAAAATGGAAAAAACTGTGCTCAGTGATTGTATGAAGTAATGTAGAAACTGTAGATAATACTACGAGTACCATACAATATATTTAAAGCCCATTAAATCCATCACTCTCAATAATAGATTCAAACAATAATAGATTTCTAAACCTTTTCCAGACATGTTGCAAAAGGAAATACACACCTCCATTCTGGTTATAGGTGCTAGAAAATATCCCCAACTTTTTCTATACTGAGTTGGATACTTTTATGCTATAATTGCATTTTCAGTCTTCACACACTGTTGGAGCTTATACATCTTTGAAAATTCTATGACTGTGTTCTTTTTCATTACACAGGCATGAAAGAGGCCAAATTTTGCTGATTTCTGCTTCTGGCTTCATAATATTTTTAATTGCTATCCATTTTAATTGAAAAGTAAGTATTTTGATTACTTACTATAGCAAAAATATAAGCATATAATTGATAGTAAGTAATTGTGTTCATGAAAAATTACTGCACTGTAGCGAAGACCTGCTCACACTGGCACTATTCAGCCATATTTTCTCCTGCCACTTTTGCAAGTGGTCTCATGAACCTCTCCTTTCTGTATTCAGTTTATGCTTTATTTCCTGCTTGTTCCTTATATCCCCAAATAAATGCACAAATCAATGAGATGTTTTCACCCTTTTCTTACTGCAAAACTTTAAAGATTTTTAAATGAGATTCAAGTGTTACCTTAAGAAACCTGATTGACAAGATGAAAGACTATTTTTCAAAGGCGTTCTCCCCTAAGGAGTACTGCCAAAAGCAGGTAATTTCTGCTTCTGGTTTAGTTGTCCCTTTATGGCACTCAGGTGGTAACAGAGCTAGCCAACTGCACACGTAGCTAGCCAGCAGAATACCACTGAACAGCTGGTTGGAAGAGACCTCTGGAGATCTTTTAATCCAACCCCATCACCAGAACAGGTTCACCCAGTGGCCATGTGACTCTGGAATATCTCCAGAGATGGATCCTCTGCAACCTCTCTGTGCAGCCCATTCCAGTGCTCTGTGAACCTCCAAGTTAAAGCTTTTCCTCATAATGAGGTGCAACTTCTGTGTTTCGGTTTGTTCTTTTGCCTGTTAGAAAGGCTGTGGTCCCAAAGAAAAAAGAATACTCCTTTCCTGGAAACTGAAATGTATTCCAAAGGTTGTGCAACAAGAAACATAAAAAGACAAAAAGGAAAAAGAAAGATCTACTTTACAAAGGAGACGTTGCCTGAGTCTCAGTGCTCTTTACTAAAAGCAAACAGCTGCTAGATCAAACAGATGGCTCAGGCAGTGGTTCTTCTTTTGGTGCTTCTGACTTGATTTTCCTCTGTTTCATCTGTGTAGTAAGCAAAAGAGTGAGCTTTGACATCCAACTTTGTTGTTTTCTGCCTATTTACATCAAATCTGCTTTTGCTAATATGTTTGATGGTGATTCTTTAAGCAACCTAAGCCACTCATTGACAACATACTGCGACAATTATGTCAATGTGTGAATAACATAGAGTGAACCATCATGAGTCTACTAAAGTAAAAGTTCAACTCCTGCCTTTAAGCCTTCAGTCTCCATATAAGGGAAAATAAAAGGCAGTCCTGGAGTGCCCCAGCCAAAAAAACCCCCTGTTGACTCACAAGCATGCTATCAAGACCCAGACCTATGTAAAGCAGGAAAAGTTATTAGTTGCAGTGTCAGAATGGGCATGGACAGTCAGCCAAGGCTGCCTGAAGATATGTTCTGTACATCAAATAAACCCTTCCAAATAGTCACCATTGTTAAGTGATGTGTATCTCCAAAAATGTTTTAAAGAGATGTAGGATTTTTTTGTAGTAGGTCTTCTTGCCTCAAATTAGTAAGTAATCAATCTGTTTCTGAAATCCTGATAAAGTGGATTTACACTCACAAGTGTTTGGCTAATAGGGAAGTAATGAAATGGGCTACTTCCCTGGATGGCACCAGATAGTCAAGCGCAAGCAGCTTTTCTCAAAAAGTATCTTCTCAAAAAACTTTCAAATTAATTAGCTGTGCTGTTCAGATAGTGTTCCTAGGACTTTTGCTTCCTTTTTACCTCATTAATATTATTCTCAGTAGCTTTTTTTTTCCTTTCAGAGATTGACAGCTGCTATTAACTAATTTGCCAACTTACCTGCCTCCATTCCATCACATTTCTCAGGCTTACCTTCATGACTCAACAGCTATTCTGGGGTATTCAAATCCGTGTTTCCATCTATTGGTGTCTAAAAATGCTTGCTCGCGGTGAGAGACTTCTCCTGGGTCAAGCTGTTCAGGTATAAGCAATTTATTATAAGGGTGAAGAGAGGGAGAGACCTGTGTCTGCCACCAGCCTCGGCGTCCACGTGGTCCTGGGGAGAGGGGAGAGAGCAGGGAAAACTAGAGAGGGGTAAGAAGTAGGGAGAGGGGTAAGAAGTAAGAGCTGGGGGAAAGGCTAAGAGAAGAGGGCTGAGAGCTGAGAGAGGGGTAAAGGGGTAAGAAGTAAGAGAGAGGTAGGAGTTAAGAGAGCGAGGTTCTTGTTACAATACAATATATCTTTTTCTATAGTGAATATTCTAATTCCCAGTAACCAATCACTACGAGATACACCCGCTAAACAATTTACATACAGCCTCTGAGCATCCCCATATTAACTTACAGTGTTGCATTTTAAACTCTACAAGCTTTACAAATTCTTCCCTTGCTTCTTGACCTTTGGGCTTTCTATCAGCAGAAGGACATTGTTTCATCAACAGGGATTCTCCTTTAGCTGGCTAGGCTATTATTCTTTGGTTATATAGTAACTAGTACTCAGCTTCATGACTCAAAGCAAGCTTTCAATTCTATTTAGATTCTAGGCTTCATATTTTCAGAATCTTCTGCCAAACAATCACATTCATAAGGTTTCCCTGTTTCATCCTCCCCAACATCCATCCACTTCCGCTTTGCACTAACAAGAAAATACTTCAGGTCTTATATGTTCAAGAGCATGGGCACCCCATCCACATGTTGGCCATATAATACTCTGCAGAAAAGCAGGAATCAAAGTGAAGGTTAATGACACTATGAGAATATGAAAATAGCAAGAAAAAGAAAAAAAAAAAAAACCAACAAAATAAAAACAGGTGCTTACAAATCTCTCTCCTGAATCTCCAGCTGCATGGCATTCACCCTTTCCTCTCCAGGGCTGTCCACTTGCTCTCCAAGCTCTCTTCCTTCTGCTGAAACGTTAGCAAGTGCAAGTTGAGTTCTAAATCTGTGTGTGAAAAGAGACTTTGAAATCTGAGGCAGGTTAAGTAGCAATGCACCAGCCTGGAGGAAGAATACCTATTGTGGTAAGGTATTCCACATGGATGAATTGCTTCTTTAAGAAGAATGAAGGACTAATCTGGGCAATGGATTACGGTAACAGTCTCTGACTTGCAGTATCATTGTTCTGCTTGGCTGTTAAAGAGAAAAATTACAGGTTCTAATTTAAACCAATTCTTCTTGAGCTGCCTTGACAAAATAGTAAATATTTTACAGAACAAAGCAATTAAAACATGCAGATAGATATTTACTTTATTTATGAATTATGATAATATATCTGACCACCCAAATTAGCTTAAAGCACTTGATGCAATAAGGTTGATCATTAAGATTTTTAAGCAAGCTTCTCATTTGACAAAGGCGAAAGCTCTCACTTTTGAATGTTGAATAACTTAGAAATTAGGAGTGATCCGTAATACATGTGACTTCAGACCAAGCTCATTAATAGGGTGGGTATATATCAGAACAAAGGATTTCTCTCTTGCCTATGGTTGATGTCAGTGCTGTGGTTGATGCAGCTGACAACTCTTCTGAATGCTTTTTCTTTTCCTTCTCCTATGATGGGGACACAGCTTAAAGTGGAACGGAGTCCAGGTAGAAAATAGGTGAGTATTATACAGACAACAGAACAAAAACCTCATTGGGTAAGTGTGTTTACTTTTGTCTGTGCATGAGACCAGCCTACTTTTTCAGAATGGTGACCAAGCAGTGATGTTTGATGTAGGACGTGAGTAGCTATATATTTTTATAACAGTTTTAATAGAGGAATAAAGCTTTTGTTTCCTTAGAAAAGGAATTCTGGAGCAATGACTGAAACCACAGGTAGAAAGAAGTACATGACAGGAAACAGTCCAGGAGAGCGATGAGTAGTACTGTAGTGATGGACAAACTACAAGGACCATAAACATAGCAAGAGGGGAAAGAAGTTTAGGTGTGATCCAGCTGCTCTTGACATGTAAGTAAAGTGCTCTCAGCTGTGCCAATGTCCCCTTCCAGCACCTGGGTCAGCCCTATTGCTTGAGCCTCCTCTTATCTGTAAGGGCACTCCCCTTATCTGACAAGGGGCACTTTTGTATCTGCTGGTGGTGAGTTTTGGTCTGAGTAGATCTGAGGGGCAAAGTGAGAGAGGAGTGGATTTTAAATGCTGTTCAAAGGAAATACCATCTGGTGAATTTGTTTCAGAGTAGCAGCATAATAAAGCCATTAACATCATTGGAGCCACTCAGGCTGTTTGAATCTTAAACTGTTAGAACAAGATTCATCACTGCAGAGGCTTTGTAAACATGTATTTTATAAGCATTTATAAAACTTTAACCTTCAGTTTACTGATCCTTGAAAGCTTATGCCAGTTAGAACTCATAATGTTACACAGATCTATTGAAATGGAAGACTGAGAAAAACACATTTTTCCCCTATGCCAAGGCTACCAATAAAAAAGTACATGAATTATTCATTTCATATATTTCATACATTGCCACAAGTTGTCAGACATTCCTTTTTTTTGATTTTTTAGTAATATATGCCATTTAGATTGGGATTAAAACTAAGTAAATTCTTGAGCAGGTACCTCTGGGTCGCTGCTAATTTCTCTAATTTCTATCAGACTCTTCTCTTACTTTAAAAGCTTTCCTGTAGCAAGCCAGAAATTAGGATTTAGAGACAGCTGATAGTTGGATTGGGTTTTGATAATGTGCAGGTTAAACAGCAAAAGAACATGGAAGATCCTGTGCTTTCTACCAATCAGAAAAGCCAGCAGGATGCAGAAACAGTCAAGAAGTGGTAACATCTCATATATCCTCCTTCATGGGAAAAGTGCCAGGAGTTAAAGTTTTATAAATGTTTTTGAAAGAAACCGGTGGCCAGAATTGAAGACTGACAAATGTCAGTCAGGAAAGGACTGATGCCATTTTAGCAGTGAAGCTGGTTAATTAGTCTGACATACACTAGAAATTAATTAATTGTGGTAGGTGGGAAAACAAAACCTTTCTGAAGGAAGCACCCTCCTGAATATAATAGAAAGAAAAAATTAAAGCAGGGTCTAAAGCCTGAACGCCCTTGCCTTTTTTATGCTTATTGTTTTACAGAAATAAGTCCATTTCTTCCTTAAAGAGGTGAAAAATTCTGCTTGGATTGCTGTAGGAATGTATGAGCTGATTCAGGGATGCCTTGGATAGCTGAGTCTGGAGAAAAAGGTGTTAAGAAGATAGAAGTAACTTTGGGAGATTACTGTTTGGAAAAGAACCAGGTAAGCCTTCAGCACTGCTCTCACCCTTGCCAGCACAGGCAGGATCTGTGTGGGAGCACCCACAGACTTTGTACACTGACTTGAAGAGCAGGAGATGATGTGCTGAAGCTATTTCTATTACTAGAATACAGACAAGAACTTTGAGCTGTAAAGAAGCTAAGTTATTCTTCAAGAAAATGTGTATTTCTGTGG